CCCAGTCTTTGTGGCAGGTAATGCACTGGCAGTCTCCTAGACAACTGCCATCACCCCTGTTTACAACTGAATTTCAGATCCACAAAGTTGTAACTTAAATGTAAATTCTATCTTAAAATTTGACAGCTAGATGCGTGTTTGTTTTCTTGTTCAACAGTATTTAAATTGACTTGACTCTTCTGGTATTGGGAAACACTTCATTACACAAAACAGGTTAGGCTATCTCTAGATGATGTCTTACAAAATATCTAGGCACTCCAACCTAGCAAAATTGACACAGAATTAACTGCAATGCTAGCCTTTGCAAGTGCTCGTCTCCCTGGGCACTGATGCAAGGGTTCCTTTGGAAATTTAGCAGAATCGCTGTACGGAGGTGTAGATACTAGAATGAACAGCAGTGTTTTAAGAAGTACTTCAACCTTGAAAAATCCTTATGGAAAACAGTGATTGTTTTGCTGAAAGGGCTTTGCAGCCATCCCATGACTTTGGTCACAAGATGCCTCAGGCACACCTGGGGCTCTTCTATTATTGTGTATTGCACAGGATAAAGGACTAGAGTCATGTGATGCTCTCCTTCAGTAAGACACGTAAGTTAAGACGAGGGACCTTGGTATGAGAAGATACTTTGTGTAGCAATCAATAAATATGCCTTTGTATGGCTGTTGGTGGGGGTGGGGATGGGGTGGGGGTGGGGGGTTGTTCAGTCCATCAGAAAAGGCTGGACCTTCTTGCTGCTACATAGGCCTTAAAATTTCATCTTGGGAATGCCTTCTTTCTTCAACCGACCCATGCTGTATGGTGCACCCTGACAGGTTCTAACTTATTTAATATTTACCTTACAGTCCTATGAGGCAGTCTCATTACTGTCAAAGGTAGTAGTACTTATTCCTCAGGACTGCTAGCCGTAAATAACAACATGGAGACTCATTATTAATTATGAAAGCTCGGCCTTAGCTTAGACTTGTCCCACTAGCTCTTACAACTTAATTTAACCTATTTATATTAATCTACATTCTGCCACGTGGCGTTACCTCATCTTTGAACTACACATCCTGCTTTGTCCTCCTCCTTTCTTCTTCCCAGAGTTCTCTCTACCTGGAAGTCCCACCTATACCTCCTGCCTAGCTATTGGCTGATCAGCTTTTTATGATACCAACCACAGCAATACATCTTCACACAATGTACAAATATCCCACAACGGTCAACCTCATTTTACTAGACAAAGCACATAGGTTAAGCAAGTTGCCTGAGGCCATACTGCTTATAGATAGTTCATCCTGGAACTTTCAGACTGACTTTTAAATATTGTGCTACTCCCTTCTCAAAAGGATGAAAACTGCACTCATTTGCTCTTTGTATTCTTCTAACATCTTTGTAAACATCCTTGCCCTACCCGTAACATGTGTATCACATGACAACTTTTACACTTTACACAATAGCCCTTGATACAGTCAGCCTTATCCTGCGTTTCCAGATGAGGAGATTTTGACACACTAAGAAGGAAGTATTTGCTGCAGGCCTTCGTGTGGAACAGGGAGGATTTGAATCCTGGCTCGGTCTCTGAAGTTCATTTCTTCTGCCTCTCTGTGCATGGTTATTGATGCCAAATACTGTAAACATTTGGTTCTATAGATCTTGAGTTAGTTTAGCCAAAGTTGGCTTTCTGTTATGTTATGTCCCTCCCATAAAGTAGACCATACAATGAGCATAAGTTTCAGGCCACTTTATGCCTCCAGTAATAATACATAATGCAAAGAATGGAGGGGAGGAGGAGGGAGGAGGGGAAAGAAGGGGAGAGGAAGAGAGGGAGAAAGAGAACTTTGGGGGTCTAATGACCTTTCACAGGGGTCACCTAAGACCCTCGGAAAACACACATTATGGTTCAGTAGCAAAACTAAAATTATGAAGAAGCAACGAAAATATTTTTATGGCTTTTCCCACAATGTGAGAAAGTGTATTAAAGTATATTAGGAAGGTGGAGAAGGAAGTGTATTAAAGGGTCACAGCGTTAGGAAGGTGGAGAACCACTGACGCATTGAGAACAGCTGTCTTCAGTGACAGCAAGGCGATAAAGGCTTACTCTTACTGAAGCACTCAAAGAGGAGAAATAAGCAATTGGGCTCAGCTAGAGCAGAATATAAACCATGCCTGGGAGGTGAGTTTGACCAGATTTGCCTTCTGGCAAACTTCTTCCTTAGAAAAGGAGATACAAATCACAGATGGGTGGCTTTGCAATTGGCTTGTTACACTGGAGTTAGGTAAGGTTACCTTTAGCCTGTTTTGAAGTGACTGATGTAAAAAAGGTTTCTGCCAGGAGGCTGTTTCCCAATGGAGCCCAAGAGAAAGCAGAGTATACTTCGAGCTGAGTGTAGATAAGGGTCATAGAGACCTAAGGTTTGCTTTCTCCTCCATAACTCTCTGATAAGGTTCTTATGTTAGGAAAGGTAAAGTCTCCGTCCAGAAGTTGCAATGATGACTGAAGAATCAGAGCCTGGGTGAGCATTTGCCTACAGAAATTCTCTCCCTCTCCTTTTCATTCTGACAAATACCAAAAACAATCCCCAAGAGAAAAAGGCATCTGCTGAGACCACAGACTGATATTGGCCACATTCATACCTGTTCACACAGCACACAATCATCAACCCTAAAAACAGAACAAGTGACAACTCTCACCAGAGAATCTCTAAAAGAAAAGCCATGCTGTGTAAAGGCTTCAGAATGAGATGGTGTTGCTTCTGCAGTGTTGTATGTAGGCAAGACATCAAGGATGCTCTAGAGAGAACAGCATGGGGTAGCCCTGCACACTGAATATGAGTTCAGGGTCCTCACACTTACCTCTTATAAGAGAGTCTATAACATGGCAGTTGAGAGCACGGCTATGAAGAAACCTTGCCTGTTTAATTTGATCACTTACAAACTGAGTGTCACCGGGCGGTGGTGGCACACACCTTTAATCCCAGCACTTGGGAGGCAGAGCCAGGTGGATCTTTGTGAGTTTGAGGCCAGCCTGGTCTACAGAGTGAGATTCAGGAAAGGCACAAAGCTACACAGAGAGACCCTGTCTTGAAAAACAACAACAACAACAACAAAAAACCAAACTGAGTGTCTCAGGTCACTTTCTGTAGTCACAAATACAAATGATAGTAATTATTTTTCTTTCTGTTTTTTTAGAAAGATTTATTTTATTATTTTTAATTACATCTATGGGTGTGGTCTGTGTGAAGGTATGGGCACTTGAGCTTCTGTCCTTGGAGGCTTTGGGTCCCCTGATGTTGCAGGTCATAAGCTGCCCTAAATGGGAACCAAACCAGGGTATTCTGGAAGAGTAGCATGTGCTCTTAAGTACTGAGCCATCTCCAGTCCACTTTCTGGTTTTTGGTACTAGAGATTGTAATCAAGGCATTGGGCATGGTAGGCACTAACTATAATAGCTCTGAACTGGAAACTACTTCAACATACATCATAAAAAGAAATGCATAAGTTATGATAAAACTGCAAAAATATGAAGAACTGAAACTGTACAGCAACACGGAAAAATCTTACAAACACATTGTTGAACCAGAGAAGACAAACAAAAAGAGAATGTATAGGTTATGGCTTAATACTTACATAGCAAGTATAGAAACAAAATTAATCTACTATGTTAAATGTCAGCATATAAAAGTCAGCACAGAGGCTGCCCCTGGAAAGAAGCAGTAACTACATAGCAGAATGGGGGTTCCTAGGTGTTCAGGTGTTCATAACATTGTTTCTTGATCTGGTGCTACCTACAAAGACAAACTGAATGTTGTGAGGATCGCTTGAGCCACATCCAATATACACACTTTTTCTGTATGTATGCTAGATCCAGGAACAATTTCAAGAGTTTTATGAAAACTGACTCTCTACCCAACATAATCCTCAAGTCATCATAAGAGTTTGTGAGTCATCAGCATGAACATCACTGTCTAAATAGATCAATATTAAATGCACCGGATCTCCAGATGCTCTTGGACCTAGTCGACACAACCTAATCATTAACTTTAAGAATATTTTTAATTAATTTTTTTCTCATGCAGTATATTTTGAGCATATTCTTTCTCCTCCTACAATTCCTCTCAGATCCTCCCCACTTCCCTGCCCACCCAACTTCATCTCTCTCTCCCAAGCAAGCAAAAAATCAAAACAAAAAGAACACAATTAAGACTAAAAAATACCAGAACAAAATGTGCACACACAAAAAACATGGAGTCTGTTTTGTGTTGGCCAATACTCCTGGGCATGGGACCTGCCCTGGAGTGTAGAGGTATCTGCTACTGCCTTCTTGTTAGAACCATGAATACTAGTTCCAGCGGGACTCAGCGCCCACTGTTCTCGATCCTCACCTTAGCTGTTCCCTCTCTTGGCGTGATTTATTTTTCACTCGTTTGTTTATTTGTGGGCTTGCTTCCACTTCTTCCTTACTAAGCCTAGAAGATTCTAAGGACAGTTTTCTGACTACCTGAGTCAGTTTAGACCTTCTGATCCCAGGCAATGCTTCCCTCACAAAGATGGAAATCCTTATGGCATGCAGGACCGTTGCAAACCATCCCAAGATGCCTGTTAGTGCAGCCCGTAGAACACTGCTCTGTGATTTGTCAAAGAGCGAGCAAGACAAATGGAAGACGTACAAGGGCTATACACAAGCAAGGCGTGGCTGTCCTGCTCTCGATTTCCTTGGTTCACAGCCAAGATACCTCTGGCCGAAGCAACACTCCTTCTTCCCGTGGTTGGCAAACAGCAAGGTCCCTGGCACCTCTGATCCGAGGCCACCTCGGGAGGGCGGGGCGCCATGTCGAGCCCCTACTGGCTCAATCTACCGTCGCTCTGCTACGCTCAGTTGGCAGTCTGAGAGGTCAAATTGCCCGTGCAGGAGGCTCGTTCTCATCTAGATCTATGATTGGCTGAGACTGAGGGCAGGCAGAGAGCCTTGCAGAGCACCAACTGGTCGGAGTTGCCATCAATCATCAGGAGCAAACTCCTCCCGGTCTCCATTTGGCCAGCAGCGAAAAAAAATTTCAAGCATTTCCAGAGAGGAGATTGTGGCTTCCCTAATTGCTTGCCCTGGAGATCGGAATCAACAAGAGAAGTCAGTCTTATATATCAGCCAAGAAAGCCTTCCCTTTCCTCTCATTAGCCAATTAAGAAATTTACAGACACATAGCCATCTCGAGGTAAGAGCCTGAAGAGTTCAATTCGCTCATTCCCCTAGGTTGTTGACGAGAATCTATTGGCGGTCCTCGGAATGGAGCGTTAAGGGAGGACCAGGAAGGCGGAGAAATATGGGATGGGTTCCCGCAGCTTCCACCGTCTGAGGCCGAGCCCTACGCGCATCTCCCCGGGCTCTGTGTGCGAGGTGGAGAGCAGCTGTTCCCGCCGAGGCCCACGGCGGCTGCGCCCGGGCGGATGCAACCGCGGTCGGCCTTGAACTTGACCTCAGGCTGGAAGTGAGAGGCGCCGGAGCGGGGCTAGTAGGATGGGCAGGGCCGGTGGGAGGGACAGAGAATGTGGGGGAAACAGAAGGCGCCCTGGATTCCCCGCAGCGAGGCCCCCCAGGTGCGCGCCAGCCGGAGAGAGCAGGCATGGCCACTGTGAGACCTGTTCCCCGGTCTGAAGACCCGGGGGGTGCCCCGAGATCTGCTGGGCTGCGCTAGCCGGAGGATGTTGTCCTGCAGCGGTCCGGCTTCGGTCAAGGCCAGCGAACTAGCTCAGGACGGTGTCCAGCGGGGCTTGTAAGGAAATGGGTGTAGAGAAGGATCGCGGAGCCCTAGTGGTTTGGATCTGCGGGCTTGTGTTGTGCTTTGCTAGGAGAGCTCTGTGTCTTAAAGCTAGGTGGCTCGGGGTGCCTGTTTCCGCAGCCGCTTTCTGTAGATGAGCTAATTCACCCGGAGGAGACAAAGATGAGGCTCTGGGTAGAAACAGCTAGGACATTTGAGTCTCAGAAGCTCCGCTGGTGTTTTCGTTGTAGGAGTCAGAGGAATAGTAACAGCGAAGCTCTCCACCCCCAGCCCAGGTGCCCCCAGATAGGGAGAGCAAATGTGGCCTCTAAAGGACCTGTACCCCAGGAAGAAAACAGTTGGGGCCGCCCGAGATCTGCTGGGCTGCGCGGAAGGGAAGGTGTTGCCCTGCGAGTGTGTGTTGTAGCTTGTAGAAATTGGAAACCAGAGCACCACTGTATGACAAATGTCACTGGATACGGAAGCTTTGGATAATGAGTTCTTGTTAATAACTGTTTTTCTTGCAACCCGAGTCTCTTTTTCCTTGACAACGTCAGAACCCCTTTCACAAAATTGAGTAATAAGTACTTTTCATTACTAGTCTCAGTTCACATGTCTAAACCGAAGCTCACATACACCCAAAGCTCACTGAGGGTTTTGTTGTTTTCTTTCCTCCTGTAAACTAATACATTTTCTTTCCTCCTAAAAGGAGGTAAAGTCATTGAGTGCAGATTTCCTAGAATACATTTCAGAGGTTTTCAGATGATTTTAGTTGTTTCCCGGGGTGTAGGGGGTTTTCCTTGGCGATGATGGTAAAGAAATTTGGAGTTTAAGAATATTAAGCCGGGCGGTGGTGGCGCACGCCTTTAATCCCAGCACTCGGGAGGCAGAGCCAGGCGGATCTCTGTGAGTTCGAGGCCAGCCTGGGCTACCAAGTGAGTCCCAGGAAAGGCACAAAGCTACACAGAGAAACCCTGTCTCGAAAAACCAAAAAAAAAAAAAAAAAAAAGAATATTAAAAATCGGGCTGGTGATGTCGCTAGGCCTTGACCGGTAAAGTTGCCTGCTGCCAAGCCGGCCCCTTGAGTTCCAGCACCAGAGAAGGTGCACCACCTACAAGGTGTCCTCTGACCTCTGCCAGCTTGCACTGGCTGCATCCCTTTACACACAAGTAAATAAATAAAGTGAAAACATAGTAAAAAGTTTGTGTTTCCATTATGGGAAGATACCAAAGTGCCACTTTATAGTCACCTGACGGTTCCTGGAGAGAGGAACATCTAAGCCTTATCAGTACTGCTGATTGCCAGCACTCCCAATTCTGCCAGATGCTTGCTTGAAGTGGTAGAAGTGAATTTCCCCTTTGAACTGTTTTTGACGTTCCACAGCAGTGGAACTCAAATTCCCAGTGCCAAAACCTGCTATAGAGATAGTGCCTCGTTTTTCCAAAAATAAAATGGAACAGCTCTGGGAGTTAAACTGCTGGGTGAGAATAAACTGCTGGGTGAGAACTATGAAGAGTAGAACTGGTGCAGCTGTCTTGCAGCTGTGTCTGTGGGTCCTTGGGCTACACAATCAAGGGGTGGTTTAAAAAGTTTACAAGGTGGGTGTATTTTTCAATCCTGATGTTTTTGTGGTTGGGATGGGGTCTCAAGTCTCCTCAGACCGGCCTTTAACTCCTGGTTCCTCCTGCCTCTACCCCCTAAGTGTTGAGATTCTAGAGGTGGACCACCCCACAAAGCTCCTTTCTTGCCTTGATTGCTGCTCTGTAGAAGCGAGTTTCACCAGTGCCGTCTTGAAGCGATTCTGTGCCTATGACATCTCACTTCAGCTGAGATTCCTGCCAGATGGAATTACTCATGTGGGGATAACTTTGTTCTAGCATCGTAGTTTTATTTCTTCCCTCCTTTCTTCCTGGTCCATGTTATGTATCAGGTTGAAGAGGAAGGTAGGGAGAACCGCTTGGTCACACAAATCACTGTGGAAATGGTGGAAAGGCATATTTTCAGATGTTTATTTATAATAGCCAGAATAGTAAGGTGTTTTTCATTTTGTGCATGCACACATATAGTTTTAAAGACTGAAGTGATTAAATTGTGATATATACATTTTTGTTTTGACTGGGAAATAAAGAATTTGAAATATTAAGTTCAGGCAAGAGTCTTTTTTTCCCTTTTATGTACAATTACCAATACATTTTAGATTGTTATGTTATATATCTAGGATTCCAAGAAAATTGTTTATTTTTGTTTTCTTCCTTACCATAGTTTAAAGTTTCTTTATTGTTAGTAGGAATATGTCATATGCATTTGTGATATGCTTTGTATTCCTTTTACTTTTCTGGGATATTTTTGTGTAGTGAAAGCAATAAAGGGTGATTTCACTTTGAAAGATTAAATATAATTGTTTAAATGGTTTACTAACATTGGTTAGCTTAGGTATCTAATCTGCAGATTTACGTATTTCGCCCTGATTAATAACAACATGCTAAGTAACTGCTTCTTAGTGGACCAACTGATAAGCTTATCCCAGCTCACTGTTGCTGGCTGGTCTGACAAACCGAGAGAAAGCTTAGGCGTTTGTCAGGTTGTTTAAAGGAACCGTTTGTTGTTGTTGTTTTGTGTTTGTTTGTAATTTGCTGTTGTTTTACGTGTTCGTTGTCCTTCACACTTCCATTTCACTCCTCTCATCGGCTCTTCAGTTCGTGGTCGTTTCTGCAGGCATTCCAAGATCTCTGGGGCTGATGATGGTTTTTTCCAAACTTGAAGCAGGGGATGTCCTTCTGGATGTACAGAGCTTTGTTTGGTTCGGGATGAGGATGTTTGTTTTGTCTTCGTTTGGGGGCTCGTTAGATTTTGAATTGAGGGTCTTATGCATGCTAAGCACTGGGCTGCACCATTAAGCGACACCTCTGGGTCGTGCGCAGGTTTAACTGAGAGTTGTCATGTAGCTTGGGAACACAAGTTGCCTTTGAATACTTTTCTTGAGGCTCTAAAAGGGATCTCTGTGGTTTAGTTTTGGTGTGGCTGGCAAAGGAGACGGAACCACTTAAGTCTGTTTGCCTAGGTGGTGCTGACCTAGTTCTGTAGCTGCTCACTCTGATTCTCGGCCAGCAAAATGCTCTCCAGCAGGTTTTTCTCTGTAGCTGCTCTGCTGATTCTCTGAAGTGTTGATAATATGATGGAAGGTCAAATTGATGGTAAATATTAGATTATATAGGCTCAAAGGAACTGTCCACTTTTACTTTATTATTCAGTAATATATCTTGTGAATATTTGTTCTTTGATGAGAACGTAGCTGTGTTTATCATTTGATTTTTTTTTTTTGAGAGTTAGAGAGAAGCATACAGGGGGAGTGGGCAAGAGAATCCTAGAAGAGCTGTTTGAAAACTTGAGTCATTTGTCTGCTGTCCCGTAACTTTAAAGTGGATGCTTACCGGCTAAGTAAGTGTACGTGAACTAAAGTCACCTAAACAAACTCTTTTGAGTCTTTTGCCCTCCCTTTGCTGACCGACCACTAACTCGTATCTCATGGCCTCTGAAAACATCCTCACAGAGACACTCAAGAGTATGTACTATCAGTTTTCTGTGTATCTCAAAATTTGGTCAAAATATTTTTATTCCTTTTTTTTTTAAAAGAATTTCAGACAGTGTATTTTGATTACACCCCTGCACACTCTTCCTCCTAACTCCTCTAAAACCTACTCGCCATCCCCACTTTCACCTTATGTCTTTTTTTCCCCCTTGACCAGTGTTTCCAACTTATATCGCCCATCTATTCATGGATGTGGGGCCTTCCTGAACATAGATAACCGACCAGTTTCTACACCTCTAAAGAAAAACAGGCTGTCCTTCTCCCAGAACCCATCAGCTGTCCATAGCACCTCAGGGGTGAGTTGCGGGAGTACCCCTAAGCCCTTCCATCCTGGAATAGTGTTGGCTGGTTTGGTCTTGCGCAGGCCCCCACAGCTGTTGCGAGTTCGAGAGTGCAGTAGTGGTGTCAAGCTGAGAAGACAGTTTCCTGCCACTCCTCCCTGGCTGCGGCCTCTTACATCTTTCTGCTCCATCTTCTTAGATGGCCCCTTGAGCCTTGAGGGGAGAGGTGTAGTATAATGTCGCATTTTTGTCCGAGTACTCCACAAACACCTATTCTCCTCATTTTGGTCAGTTTTGAGTTTCTGCATTAATCACAGTCCATGCGCAAAGCAACATCGATGAGGTCTGAAAGCTGCACTAATCTGTGGGTATAGAGATAGGAATTTACAAGGCAGTCTCTGTAGACAAAGTGTGTGGTGGGTGGATTCAGCAACGGGGTCTTACCATATAGTTCTAGTGGACAAGCAAGAACAATCACAGTAGCCTGTATTGTTTAAAGAGTTTCTGGTACACCCCTTATCGACAGCTGGGGGAAAGGTACTCTACACCGGGAAGTGGACTTTTTATTTGACTTACCTATAGCTTCCAGAAGGAGCATCATCTCCTGTATATGGTTTCTCTCTCCCTCTCCCCCTGATCCTCAGAGGATATTATATGTGTATGTATTAGGCAACTTACATGGCTTTTTCAAACATCCTTAGTGTTAATTATATCCCTCTCCCTACCCCTAGCTCCCGTCCTCATCATGATTTCTAAAGGAGTTTGTTCATATCGCATTCTCTCTTTGACTGTTTTACTTGCTGAACAGAATAATGGCCCTCCCCACCCTTAGCTAAATTGAATTCCCTAAAATTCTTCTGAAAGTTATTGTTTAAAATTTGTAAGGCATTCCTGTGTATATGGACTCCAAATGGCTTTATTTTGTGAATGTTTATGCATTTTGAAGAGATTAATTGATACAGATTTATCTACAGGCCCTGAAGAGATAGATTTTTTTTAAACTCATTTTTTATTGTGAAATAATTTTGATTGTTTATTTGAAACAGCGTTTCACTGTGTTTCCTAGACTAATCTGAACTGGATGAAAATTACTTCATCGTCCTCAGTGGCTAGGACTACAGACACAAGCCGCTACAGACACAATCCTGGCTTATGTAGTTGCGAATAATATAATACCTTCTTCCAGCACTGTCAAATCTTAGCATCATGAATTAGTTTTTCATTTGTAAAGTAACAGAGCAAAGTGCTATGCAACTGAGTGTCTGCTTAGAACTTGGTATGCATGGTAAACTGTTGGAAACACAGCCCCAACTACAGGGCAATGAGAACTCCCTGATAATTCCTGTTCATGCCAAGAAAGGTTTTAGGATTCAGTTTAAGTAGGAATGCAGAATAATGGTTTCAAGAAATGCAGCCTTTGCCTAAGTGTGGTAGCATACACCTTTAATCACAGCATCAGGAGGCAGAGGAAGGTGAACCCTGTAAGTTCAAGGCCAGCCTGGTATACATAGTGAATTCCAGGCCAGCTAGGGCTGCATAGTGAGTCCTTGTTTAGAAGAAAAAGAGGCAGAGTCTTCTTGTCTTGGGTATTGATGAGCTGTTGGCAGTGGAGGAAAGGAGAGCTACATTATTAATGTAAATGTATGGATCATGTGGCCATAATCTGGGCTGCTTGTCTATAACACGTGCCCAGTTCCTCACTTATCCTCTTCATGAACATCTACCACAGAAACACCGTTGGAACTGGCCTATTTTGCTAGAGGGTGTTTACATGAACCAATTTACATTAACCATTCTAATGTAAAAAGCAAAGTTTAGTAGTTAATAGATTGTAAGACTCAGATTTGACTTCCATATCACACCCCCTCTCCAAGGTTCAGGGACCATGTCAGAAGAGGAAGTGGGAAGATCGTAAGAGCCAGATGCCACTGTTGGGGACAAGGGGCCAGAGTGGAATAGTGTTGTCTGTATATGACAGGTCTGCTGAACCCAGGAACTCAGAACAGCTGCAGTCGCCTGCACAAGAGCCAGTCAACATTCTAGTATGGAGTGGGAAGGGGTGCATGAATCCCCAGCTGAGGAACTATGGACAATAGATGGCCTCTGGGAAAGGGATAGTCAGTTGAAGAGTGTGGCTCCTGGTAGGTCAGCTGTGCACCAGCCAATGGTCCCACACCCAGGAGTAGTTAGGCAGCTCAATTTGGAGTTGATGGGTTATTTTTTAAACAGGACACGAAGTGTGGGGGTAGGAAGTAGGGTGGACTTTGGAGGTATTCATTGGTAGGAAGAGTTGGGGTGACTATCACAAAAATACACTGTATGAAATTCTTAAAGAATGGATAGAAATATTAAATAAAAAGGAAACTCTGATCCAAAATTGTGTCTTTGTTAAAGCTTGGCTACTCTTTGAGTACAGAATTATTGTACATATTCTAGTAGCCAACTGTTTTTTCCTATTTCTATCCTTAGGAGAGGTTGTTGATATTGTTGACATTTACATTATCTTGTCTTCAGAACAACTGAGTTTGTGAAGAAAGGATATTTACTTACAAAATGTGGCCTGATGACCAGCATATGTGTAACCACAGCTGAGTAAAAGTATACAGTGTGGCCTTACTTCATACCAGCTGAATCAATATGTCAATTTTAACAAGGATCCTAAGTGACGTCAGGTTAAATCGGAGGCAGATACATGTGTTGTTGGTAGATGCATATTGTCAAATGTTTATAGAATTCAAACACCATGAAGGCGGTAGATAAATTTTTGATCCAGCATTCTCAAGAATAGGATGTAGGGTTCCCAACACACACACACACACACACACACACACACACACACACACACACACACACACACACAATGTCATACTCTTTATGGCTTTTGTTTCTGGCATCTGATGATATATTAGCAGTGTTTTGAATTACTGACTGTGACTTTGTCTTTGTCCCCCACCCCTAGGTGCATCAGTTTTCTTCAAGAAATTCAGCTGTTGCTCTGTTTGTCTTTCCCTGTGACTGAGGCCTTGGAGTTGCATTATGTTATCAGCGGCCTTAGTTACTTTGGTGAGAAGTGGAGGGAGCCAGGTGAAGAAGAGAGTGTTGTTAAGCTCTGTTCTTCTGCAGGACAACAGGCAGGTGATTCCTGCCTGCTACAGCTCCACTTCGGAGCCCAGGTGTTCTCGGTTTGACCCAGACGGAAGTGGGCAGCCAGCCACTTGGGACAATTTTGGGATCTGGGACAACCGCATTGACGAGCCAATTTTGCTGCCGCCTAGCATCAAGTATGGCAAGCCAATTCCCAAAATTAGCCTGGAGAATGTGGGCTGCGCCTCCCTCATTGGCAAACGGAAAGAAAATGAAGATCGATTTGGGTTCGCACAGCTGACCGAAGAGGTGCTGTACTTTGCAGTGTACGACGGGCACGGGGGACCTGCAGCTGCTGACTTCTGTCACACGCACATGGAAAAATGTGTTATGTATGTATCACCACCCTGGTTTTGCAGTTCTCCTAGGCATTCTCTTGACATATTCTCCCTTTGGCTGTGGACCAAATTACTGGAGTGGTCACATGCCACTCCATCAGTGAGCATGTCAATGTGACATTTATAATTGGAGATTATCTCCCTTTCAGAGATGTGTTTCAGAATCTACCTCCCTAGATGACCATTTCAAGTAAATTAAAAAGTACAAAGATAACTTGTAAGAAATTTACTCGTGTGTGTGTGTGTGTGTGTGTGTGTGTGTGTGTGTGTGTGTGTGTGTTGTGTGCATGCATATGTGTATGTACTCATCTGTGTGTGGAGGCCAGAGGTCAACATTAGTGTCTTTCTATACCATTCTCCACCTTACATTTTGAGATAGAATCTCTTACTGAACCTGGAGCTCACACAGTTTTGGCTAGACTGGCTGGCCCGTGAGCCCTCGGGGTTCAGTGTAAAGCCGTATGTTGTCTTTATATGGGGCCTAGGGATTTGAACACAGGTCTTCATGTTTGTACAATAAACACTTGGCCCTTGGAGCCATACCTCTGTGGTCCTGAGGAAGTATTTATTCCTGTCAGCACAGGGAGGTTGACTTATTGTCTTAGTTACTTTTCTGTGAAGACACATAGTGACCAAGGCAACTTATAAAAGAAAGTTTACTGAGGGCTTGCTTACAGTTTCAGAAAGTTGGAGTCCATGACCATCATGGTGAGGAGCATGGCAACAGGTAGACAGGCATGGCGCTGGAGCAGTAGCTGAGAGCTTATATCCTTATCCACAGACAGGAGCAGAGAGAGGGAGCGAGGGAGAGAGAGAGAGCCAGCTGGCTAACTGGGAATGGTGTGTGTTTTTGAAACCTCAAAGCCCACTCCAGTGACACACCTCCTAATCCTTTCCAAACAGTTCCACCAGCTGGGAAGCAGGCATTTCAACACATGAGCCCGTGGGAGCCGTTCTCATTCAAACCACCACGCTTACTATGTTTTTGAGAATCATACTGTTTCTAGAACTAAAGGAAGGAGACGGTGTTTAAGTTATGGCCATGGGCTCTTGTTTTACCTTCCAGAGTATAGTTAAAGGTAGTTGTCGGTCTGTCCGTTGATTTTTGCATGATTTGCTTCACTCTACAAACTCAGTGATTTAAGTCGATGTGAAGGACCTCGTAACTAGTCAGGGTTGCACTACTGAGAACAGGACTTGGGGATTGTGAGATGGCTCAAAGGCTAAGGTGCTGAAGCTTTCTGTCTCTCTGTTTCTGTCTCTCTTTCTCTCTTTTCCATGTGAGGCAAAGGCCCCGCCACTTAACCATATCTTCAGACAGCCTTGTTTCTTTTTCCTAGATAGACTGATATATCCTAGACTGGGCTAGAACCAACTATAAAAAACAAGGATGACCTTGAACTCCTGGCCCTCCTGCCCTCACCTCTTAAGTCTTAGTCTTGCAGGCAGACTACCAGCACCACTTCCTCAGACTTACATTTTCATGCCTTTCAAAAGTCTCAGGTTTGATGTAGCTCAGTTAGTCCTAGCTTGCAGGAAGCCCCAAGTTACATCTCCAGCACCGCATACCCGGGACGTGATGGCATGATCCTCAGCCCAAGAACGTCACACTTCATGATCCTTCAGGGTCAATAAATGTTCCTTAACCCTTGGATCTTCAGCAAAGGTGTCCTTCCGAGAGGAGAGCCATGAGGTCTGTTGTGCAGAGTGACTGCTGGAGGACTGACTGTGAGAACAGAAAACTATTGCCGAATGATCGCAGCTTTCTTTCCTCCACAAAGGGATTTGCTTCCTCGGGAGAAAGACCTGGAAACTGTACTGACCTTGGCCTTTCTAGAAATAGATAAAGCCTTTTCAAGTTATGCCCACCTGTCTGCTGATGGTAAGTGAGCCATGGCATGCCTCAGAGCTTCCAGAATGATCGGGGAAAGAGTAACAGTGAAGGCCTTTGGTGGTGGGCATCTTATTGCATGTTTACTTGTGGGGAATTATTATAGAAATAACTTTACACAAAGAATCATTTTAAATGCTGTTTAGAATCTGCACTGATGTCAGTGTCCCACTTTTATGTTCGATAATGACCTTTCAGAAGGGGAAGCTCCAAAATGATTCTGTTACTGAATTTTCATTTTATGAAGATTATTTAAAGTGTTTCAATCTATTTGATTTATATTTTTATGGACAAGATGTCCATACTAAGTGGATCTCATGCCCCTGCCACACCACTAGTGCAAACACTACAGGATAATCACATCTGCAAGGTTGATAATTGTACAGCATTTACTATAGGGCGTCAGAGAGATAGATGGTTCAGTGGGTAAAGGCACCTGCTACCAAGCTTCACCACCTGAGCTCCAGCCCCAAGACCCACATGGGGAAGAGAGAGAAGTGATTCCATATGTTAGCTTCTGGCCTTCACACATATGCTCTAGCATGTCCACATACACTTAAAAACAAACGCATGCACACACAAAATAAATGAATACGCATTGATTCCATATGTTAGCTTCTGGCCTTCACACGTATGCTCTAGCATGTCCACATAAACTTAAAAACAAACGCGTGCACACACAAAATAAATGAATATGTATTTTTTAAAAAAAGAATATTAGCAATAGGTCTTAAGTATGATAGAAAATGGCTAATTGGCATCCATTAGTATAGTCAGAAGGGAGATATTTGTCTTCTCTTTCTCAATCTTGCAGATTTCCTAAGGCAACTGGTGATATTTTTGTTTCTGTTAAGTGTAAGGAAGGGCATGGCAAGTGAATTAAAAAAAAAAAATTCGTGGACTAGGTATAAGTTTTAAAAGTAAATGTTTTTTTTTTTGTTTTGACTAAGTTTATCAAAATAATTTCAGAAAATATATCCAATATTTCCTACTTAGCTCACCAAAAATGTATTTCTAATCAGGTGAGCATTGATAACTTCTGCAGCAGCCATGTGAAGTCTGCCTGCCAACTGACTGGGAACAGCCTTGAGCAGGATGTTGATCTTAGTTCCGTCCTTTCCTTTAATAAGGTGGCGCACGCCTTTAATCCCAGCACTCGGGAGGCAGAGGCAGGCGGATCTCTGTGAGTTCGAGGCCAGCCTGGTCTCCAAAGCGAGTTCCAGGAAAGGCGCAAAGCTACACAGAGAAACCCTGTCTCGAAAAACCAAAAAAAAAAAAAAAAAAAAAAAAAAAAAAGAAAGCGCACCACAGGGATGCCACTTTCAAGTGGATGGAAATTCTCTCCATTTCACACACGAGGAGCTGCAACTCCAGGGGAAGAAATGGTTAGCTGAGATTAGGGTCTTCTTCATGTGCGTATTTAATATCAAGAGAGGGGGAAGGGGGACCCCGGGATAGCTGAGTGTTCCGTTTAAGTATCCGCCTCCCCACCCACATCCCTGGTGAACCCAAGGCTTTGGAACATGCTAGGCCAGCATGCACCGCTGTACCGCTGAGCTACTTCTCCAGCCCCTTCCTGCTGATTGTGAGAACTTTACTATCACACTCCCCAGGACACTTTAGGGCCCATTCTTTCTCCATTTGTCCAGAGAGCAGTTTTCTCTCAGTAGATTAGTTGAAATATTCTATCTTCTTCCTTTGATACCACTCCCTCCAAGGTTCCACTCCCCTGCTTTAAGTGAGGAGTTGATAGAGGGTGAAGTTTCTGCTTAAGATTTATCTTTCGTTCTCTTAAAGAGTAGAACACGCGAAGAGGAAGTGGAACACTTTCTCGTGGTTTTACTTTTTTGGGGGTGGGGACAGAGTCTCATTAGGCAACCCCGACTGGCTTGAAACTGACTATGTAGATCAGGCTGGCCTCAAACCCAGAAAGGTATGCAGCACGACGCCCAGCATTTTTATAATAGTTGATTTGGTGTGTTTTTATCCTTTACTAGGTTGGCTGTGAATTTGGCTGCATCATCACCACAATGTTTATGGGATGTAGTATCAGGATTATGCCCCAGCTGTTCTACAAACAGCTGTATTTACTGCCCATGGTTTGTAGAACACAATGTTCAAGAACATTGGCATATGGCCAACATTAAAATTCATTGACCCTTCATGAGTGCAGTCAAGCTTTTTTAAAATGATATAATCAATGCTGGTGATTAAAACCATCAATATTAGACTTGGTGTTGAATTTAAAAACATTTATTTTTAATAACTATAACTCAGGAGGCTTCAGATTTATAACATTTTACTTGTATGTCTTAAAGAGACCCTTTAGATGATTCACACAATCCAATTGTTAAATAAATAAATATTATTTATTTCTAATAACCAAATTAAGGTATATTGCTTAATTTAGTTGCTCTGCCATCCTATGGGATAATCTCAGAACTTCATAAAAATGTCCTAAAATTTATTCTTCTTGCTAATGAAGAACTGCTGAAAAGTATAAGGAGACAAAGTAGGGTGGTGCCTAGTGTGCCATTTAAAAAGTGTTAGAACAGTGTTGCTGTGTACTGTTGTGCATACTGTATGCTTCTTAAAAACCAGAGTTTGGGGACTGTTTCAAAGATGTATTTGTAAATATCTTTCAGATGGCAAATTAAAGTTACTGAAGACAGAATACTGTGTGCTAGCCTTTCAGGATTGGATTAAAGGGAAATTAGACCTATCTCACTTAAGGTTTCAAAGTTATCCAAACTTAATTTTTTGTTGTTGTTGTTTTTTTTCGACACAGGGTTTCTCTGTGCAGCTTTGCGCCTTTCCTGGAACTCACTCTGTAGCCCAGGCTGGCCTTGAACTCACAGAGATCCGCCTGCCTCTGCTTCCTGAGTGCTGGGATTAAAGGCGTGCGCCACCACCGCCCGGCCCAAACTTAAATTTTTAATTGAAATAGTGAATTGAAACAGTATTTTAGTATTAGTACTATTTAGTAGATAGTATTCTTTTTGGTGTGTGTGTGTGTTTGCGCGTGTGTGTGCATGTGTGCGTGTGTGCACGCGCCAGGGCTAGCCAGCAACCTTCTGTAGGACCACAGTCACCCTCTCTACCTACTCTTGCTTCTCATCTCTTAGCATCTGTCCTACTTTCACTTCTCTTGAGCCCTTCCTGTGAGACCAGGGGGTGGGGATTATTTTTTTTAACAGACCTCATACATTCTAGACAAGTGTCCTTCTACCCCTGAACTAGATCTCCAACCCTTTGAAACCACCCTCCAAATTTTAAATTCAATTTATAGCAGTGTGTTTTTTACATCTAGTGAAACCAGCCAGTGAGTTCAAATACCCCATCACTTTATTTTTTACACACAGCCACTTAAAACCAACAGGTGGTAGAAAACACAGATTATGAGGCTGTATACCCTGTGACTGCTGGAACTGTACAGTGACTATGCTTTGAAAGCAGCCACACTCCTAAAGAACAGAAGATCAGAATGAGGGGAATTGCTTTGACTCAGTGGCAGGTGTTGATGGGCACCACTGCGGGCTTTAGATTCTGTGCCCGTCACGTGTGGCTCTCCCTAGAGAACTAAACTCCCAGACAGTACAAACTGTAAAGGCAAATTTGCCTTCTGTGCTGGGATTATTCAGGGCTGTGGGTGTGCTAGGTGAGTAGTCTACCAGTGAGCTACACCTCCAGCCCTGTACAGTCGTTTTGAAGACTCCTCTCATGCCGGAGGTCACCAAATGGAAAATAAATAAGAACAGCATTGAAGAGTTGTTCTTACTGTGTTGTTACTGCTTCAGGTCGTTAATTTGACTTTGGTGTTCACGAGTCATACTTGTCAAGAGCACCCGTTTTTAATAAATTTCGCAACAATGTTGGCTTGTATGGATTATTATTTACACAACTGAATAATCATTGGAGGTGTTGTTAGATTTTACTCTTTCTGTTGCTGTTCCAAATTGTGATTATTTTTCTTCTGTTCTATCGACCTGCAGCACTGGGGAAAGAGAAGAGCAGCAGAAACACCCTTTTATGATTACATGAAGTTATAAACACACATTATCATTCAGGAGCCACACTGGCCTTCACATAAACAGTGAATTTAAGTCATCTAACTGGAAACAGTCCTTCCCCGTACTAAATTCCGGCATTATATGCTATGAACAAATGTCTTGTGTCCTGTTTCTGGCATAGGAGGTCCTTTGACTGCTCCTCCGTGTATATTGGAACCCCAGTTAGCTAGTAAACTAGCTAGTAAACTATAGTTCACAAACAGCCTCTACGTACTGCTTATCAAACACAAACTGTTTTGTTTAGGGGACAAAAGTTCTAATACTGTTATGAACCAAATTTACAGTGCATTTTTTTCTGACTCAATAAAATTGATTTTGCTGTGTTTAAGATTAAGTGTGTGTGTATGTGTGTGTGCTTGTGCGTGCACAAGCAGATACAAGTGTGTATCACCATTGGTGTGTTTTGGTACAGATAGATGCATATGCTTGTAAGTTTCTTCTATCTTGGAGTTACAACACTATGAGAAATGTTAGTCTGATGGAAAAAATAGATCAACAACCAGATATTATTAACTTGAAGCTACTGAGTTTTGAAATCATTGATTTGGCATCACCTGGAATATTGTGTGGGTTGCGAGTGAAATTTTCACCAATAGAAACCCTTCCCCTTATTTTGCGGCTCTCTCTCTGCTGTCCTTTGTGTTGCAGGTTTGTTATGTTTGTGTGTAATTTCTGGGTGAGATTCCCATTTGCCTCTGTGTGTGTTGTTTGCGGCAGAGAACTGTGCCCGCTCGGCAGCTCTAGACCTGGAGCCTGTGGACGCTGCTATCTGCTGGGCTTCAGCGGAAAGAGAGATCTGCTTAATTTTGTCTCCAGTGAAAATCAAGCAGTTCCTAGTCTAAACTCCTGGGGCGTTCCCGCTTCCTCCGTGGCCGGTTAGTTGAGACAACTTGTAGTAGAAAGTATCCAGTGAGTGTTCAGACTTACTGAAAAATGTTGTCTTAGTTTTCTAGTTTTGTTGTTAGGGCAGACAGTGGGGCTTTTTGACCTCTGTGTTAACTGTTGAATGGAAATAAGTGCTGATTCACTATTTATGTTCTTAGATGCATAAGCAAGCCAGAGTCCATGGTTAGTTTTGAAACTTTCCCCATATGTCCAGAGATTTTGAAACTGGGAAGGTGAGTTGAAAAAAGCCCAAGCTCTTTTAAATTCAGAGGTGAGAGAGCTGGGAACTTCAACCCAAACTGACATTGCATTTATACAATGTTAATTCTTTTGTCATCTTCAGTTAAAGATCGCTTTCTAAAAAGCTGTTGCTGACAGCTGATGTGAAGAGGTCAGAATCCCCTGGACTGGTCGAATCTAAGGAATGCCTGTCTTCTCTTTCCTGCCTTTTAAAATCATTTGAGAGTAAGACAGTTGATTGAACTGTGATGATTCCGTTGTTGTACAGTCTTTTGACCAAGATCAAGTTGAAAGTTATAAGACATGTAAGATAAGCATCACTAGTCTTTGTGTTAAAACATTTATGCCATGCACTGGCATCCATCTTGACATTGCTGTGGTGTGACAGCATTGCCTGGACCAAATGGTTCCAAAATCAACAAATGAATGGGAAGACAGCGCAACTGTAGATGCTGTTTCTCAACAGAGTAAACTGAGCATGACCACAACAGATTGAGTAGACTTTATCCATGCCTTTCCATATTACTTTTCTGGTTAAAGCAGGCATTTTAATACAATGACTGGGAAATGTCCTCATCTCTCTCTAAAATACATTATTTGGTGAAGTTTTAGATGCTGTCTTTAAACAAAATCTTGTAAAAACTTGACTGTCAATTAAGTCAATTACAGTTTTCTAAATCAACTTAGAAAGTGTAAATCACCTTTGGATGGTCAGGAGGCTTTCTACATTTATTACATAGAGCAACAGTCAAGTGATTGGATGTGGAACTCTTATTACCAGATTGAACAAACAATCCAGTGAAAATTGTGACAATGCTTTAAAGAGTTAACAGTGTTACTAGAGGTAATTCCTGCTTAAATAAGTTACTTCTCAACCTCTGCCACTTTGCTGCAGTGTTCTTTGATTCACAGTTTCATGGTAGTCCCACTTTCCACAAGGCTCAATGCACCTTCAACATTTTTCATAACTGTTAAACAACACAGAACAGATAATGTTGAAATAAATCAAAGGAAGACACACAAACGTGGTTGGCTTGAGCAGAAAAGGAGTGGCAGCCTCAAGCCTGGCAACGCTGGCCTTTCCTTGATGGCAGAGAAGATGCATATTGCTGACATACTCCGGTCCAGGCAGGGCTGCAGGGGTTGCAGCTGGCTATGCTGGTCTGCTTTTTGGCTGCAGATTCTGTGATCTGATAGTGTTTTAAGTATGGTAATAGTATTAAGTATGCCATGTTGATGAGGAACTGGAATGAATTTGGATTTATAATCTAAGGGGGGCTTTTCTTCAGGTGTAGAGCAAACCAAGACCCGAACCGGAAAAGGGTATGGGTCTTTAACTGTTTTAGTGTATGTGTGTGTGTGTGTGTGTGTGTGTGTGTGTGTGTGTGTGTGTGTGAACGTTTATAAATAGTCATGGTTCTAGAAGGTAAGAATGTACACTGTAGTGCCTCAAGAGCAAATGGTCTGTGCTTGGCATTTCTCTCCTCACCTATTAACTAGTACTACTTTGATTGGACAGGAGTGAGGAGTGGAAGAGAATAATCCAGATCTCATGGTTTTAGAAAGGCAGCCCACCTAACGGGCCCAGCAGGTCTGCCGTCCTATCAGAGCAGCCAGATTAGTGACATGGCCGTGTTTTGTTTTGACACCTCCTGTGCACACGAAGGCATCCTCATTGTGAGTTTAAGTCAGCCCTGCTTTTCACACACAGACCGTTTGGAGACACGGATGCTTTGCTCGCCAAGTTAGTTGACCGACTTTTCTGTTGGCATGGAGCCTTGTTACTAAATTAAACAATTAATTGTTTCTCTGCACGGTCTTACTTGCATAGTTTGTTGGCATTTCATTTGCATAGCTCTTGTTAAATTAGAATGGCACGTGCCAGCCTTAAATGATCATGCTTCTGTTTTATTTTTAGTAGACATTCCATACCCGGGCACTTCTATCGCTAACTGATACTGTATTTTCTAATATCTGCAGCAAGCCTCCTGACCTCTGGGACTACTGCAACAGTCGCCTTGTTGAGAGATGGTATCGAACTGGTTGTAGCCAGTGTTGGAGACAGCCGGGCTCTTTTGTGTAGAAAAGGAAAACCAATGAAGCTGACCACTGACCATACCCCAGAAAGAAAGGATGAGAAAGAAAGGTACTGCCCCCATGATTAACCATTTCATGGGGTGACAGCTGTGGTTGCCATAGAAACGGAGTGTGGCATTTCCCTCCCTGTGCCAGCCCTGCTGTGCATAGCTGTGCATAGCCTTGGCCCAGATTTTCTTGTTTTGGTTGGTTTGGGTTTGTTGAGACTGGATCTCGCTGTGCAGCCCCGTCTGGTGTTGCATCTGTATTCTCCCTTCTCAGCCTCTCAAGTGCTGGGGTTTTCAGTGTGTGGACACCACGGGTGGCCTAAGTTTGTCATTTTTATCTTATTTATTTATGGACTTAAAAGTTTTGGCATTTGCCGGGCGGTGGTGGCGCACGCCTTTAATCCCAGCACTCGGGAGGCAGAGCCAGGCGGATCTCTGTGAGTTCAAGGCCAGCCTGGGCTACCAAGGGAGTCCCAGGAAAGGTGCAAAGCTACACAGAGAAACCCTGTCTCGAAAAACCAAAAAAAAAAAAAAAGTTTTGGCATTTACCATAGGCTTGCTTTAAACTCGAATTTCAAATTGTAAAATTGGTATTTAAACCAGTGCTTTAATTTCCTATAACATTATCATCATCATCATTATCACCGATTTTACTTTTTCTTAACTAGGATCAAGAAATGCGGTGGGTTTGTGTCTTGGAATAGTTTGGGACAGCCCCACGTAAATGGCAGACTTGCGATGACAAGGAGTATTGGAGATTTGGATCTTAAAGCCAGTGGTGTGATAGCAGAACCCGAGACAACAAGGATTAAGGTAAGAAGGGGTCAGAGACACTGAGTCATACACAGAGAATGACTCGTGACTCACCTCTGGCTGCTGGCTGTCCCGGAAGGTTAACCTGAAGGAAAGATGTTTTTAAAGGGGGACGAATTTTAAGTGAAGAATAAACTTATAAGTAAGATGCTAGCTTCTGGCCTGAGGAGGGTGGAGTCTTGTGGCTTTTGTTTTTCCCTGGTAGAGGGGCTCTGTGGCCCATCCTTTCCCAACGCCTGCCATTCAGAGGCGTTCTCTCAGCTTGGGAGTTATTCTTGGCTTGCCTTCTCCACTCACCTCTCCAGTCAGCCATTTCTGTTCGAAAAGCATAGCGCCTCTTTTACTCTGAACTGACCCCAACATGATACATGACCTGCTGCTTGCTTCTCTGGAGCTGAGTCAGCACAGTATAATGTGGGCTTCCACAAACGGTAGGGCATGAATGTTCAGAATTCAAGGAAGGATTTCTGGCCTTAAAAAGATACCTCACTCCAGGTGGTGGTGGCACACGCCTTTAATCCCTACACTCAGGAGGCAGAGGCAGACAGATCTTTGTGAGTTTGAAGCCAGCCTGGTCTACCAAGCTAGTTCCAGGACAGCCAGTGTTATACAGAGAAACCCCATCTCAAAAGAAAAAAAAAATGTATCTCACTTATATTCATTTTATGAAACAAATACTTATACAGGATTTGCTGTGTGGCAGCCTCTGTTCAAAAGGGATACAACTACCTTCACTTTTTTTAAATAAATCGAAATATTAACACAAGCTAAAGCATATAAAGGCTCACACTATCAAGTGGTAAAATGTACTCACCCAGCCAAATAATAAAAGTAGCATTTAAGTCCAAACTCTCAACATTGGACAGTCTGACCTCTTTCTCGGTATTTCTGGTCAAAGTTTGGTTTATCCTGGGTGGTATTGATTCCCAGCTACATTTTCTGTTTGCCTGTGAACTCTGACACGGATGACCACTCTGCAAAACAGATGCAGTTTCTAAGAGATTGAGTCATTGGGAGGCACGGGCTCGTTTGTAATCCCATTTGTTTGCTTCTGGTTGCAGCTCTACCATGGGGATGACAGCTTCCTGGTCCTCACCACAGATGGGATTAACTTCATGGTGAATAGTCAGGAGATCTGTGACTTTGTCAACCAGTGCCATGACCCGAATGAAGCAGCCCATGCCGTGACCGAACAGGTGACTTAGCAGGGCTTCTGGTGGGGATTCCCAGAGAGAAGAGGATGAAGGATAGCAGAGTTCTATAGTGTTTTAGCTTGAGTGTTGTGGTGAATTTGAACACAGGGTCTCGAATGCTGGGTGAGCACTCTACTACTGAGCGAGGCACAAAGCCTTGAGAAAAACAGAGATTTTACTGTTTCGCTTGCATCTTTATGTTAGTGGAATTAACTTCTAGAATGGGATTTTAATAATTCATATTTGGGGGCTGGAGAGATGGCCCAGAGGTTAAGAGCACTGGCCACTCGTCCAGAGGTCCTCAGTTCAATTCCCAGTACCCACATGGTGGCTCACAAACCATCTATAATGAGATCAGGTGCCCTCTTCTGGCATATAGGCGTACATGCAGGCAGGACACTATATATATATAAAATAAATCTTTAAAAACGCATATTTCTTGTTTGTTTTTCCTCTTTGCCTATTATTTTATCACCATTTTAATGGTTATTTTTATATTTAACAACTAAATAGTAAGTATAATGGTACATTTGATACATACTTAATACATTTTAAACAAGTTTTTCTCTTATGATTTGTTTGTAAACCTTTTACATTCCTTGAAGCTATTTATCCCAGATATTGTTTAGCCTCAGGCTGTGAGATCTTTTGATCTGTTTGATGCTAACTACAACCCCAAGCAATTCTGAACAGTACTGCCTCTACCCCTCAGCCATTTGAACTGGTCCCTAGAAGTGATTTACAATCCTGCTGCAGGCAATTTAGTTTATACCCACTTAACCATTGTCGAAGGAATACTATAAACAGTTTTGTCATAACTTTGTACATACCCAATTCCGAGATTTTAAGTTTAGTATACAAAGGGGTAGGTTTTTAGCAGTGTTTTCAGACAAACATATTTTTTTTTTTATTCCTCTCCAAAGCTCTTTAATTTCTTGGGCTAAATTCCTACCAGCAGTTTTGTTGGTAAGAATTAGCATTTATTAAGGCCTTACCATGATTGGCACCATGCTAAGGATTTCAGGTGTATCCTCTTTGGGAGCCGCTCAGCGGTGTGTCTCAGTTCACTGGCGTTTCTATCGCCAAGATCACTACAGTGAAGGACAGGAAACAGTTGGATGGACTGTTATGCATGTGCAGCAAATAACCATATGGAACATGGATACAGGGTTGAAACAGTCGCAAACCTTGTTAGATGATTGCATTTGTTCACTGTGTAGAACCAGTTGGCTTTCGAGAGACAGGATGCTCTCTGTGTGCACACAAGTCCAATGACTCCAGCTCTTTCCTCTCCTCTTCTTCCGGCACCTGTAGGCAATCCAGTACGGTACCGAGGACAACAGTACTGCAGTGGTGGTGCCCTTTGGTGCCTGGGGAAAGTACAAGAACTCTGAGATAAACTTCTCATTCAGCAGAAGCTTTGCCTCCAGCGGACGATGGGCCTGATTGCCAGCCTGGACTCAGTGTTCCTATGCAGCCGTGTGTCAGTGGGCATATCAAGAAACTGGTAATACCCAAAAGGACGTCTGCACCCATGTGTCCTTGTGACCTGATAGATCCCAATACAGTGTAAGCATCATGACAAAGCTGTGAAGAATTTGTGAGACTCGGAGCTGAGTGGAAGAGGAAGTGGTTTTGGTACACGTGATGAATGATAAATCTATGCATTTTGTTTTGTGATGCTAGAGATTGGATCTGGGGCTTTCTAATTCTTAAGATTACTGGGCAGATCCAATTTCTGTTTAATGATTTCTGTTCTTAATTCAGTTAGACAGGCTTTTCTGAATTTTGATGGCTAGTCAGTGTGCTATTTGCAACTGTTTCTTTTTTTTTTTCTTTGTTTAAAACAGTTCTCACTGACTGGCCTTGGACTCCTGGGTTCAAACAGTCCTCCTACTTCAGTTTCCTGGGTACCTGGGACTGCAGGATGCTCCAACTGACGAGTGTTTTTGTTTTTATTTTTAATTTTTTTAGAGCAGAACAAGCATAGGTTTATTAAAGAAAAGTTCTCCCAGGAGATGCAGGAATCCCAAGGGAGGAATACCCACAAGTGTTATTTTTTAATAAATAAAGCACCAAGGAGTGAAAATGAAAATTAGTAACTGAAACCTTCCCTGTATCATATCTTATACTCTGGACCACTTAGTAAATTTAACCCTGCAAAAGAAACTTCTCCCGACAAAAGATATGGCTAAAGTGTATACATATTTGTAAATAGCTCTCTTGTGTATTTCAACTATTTTTAGCCCCTTCCCCATCCATTCCTATTTTTCTGTAGTTAAATATGCTATATAGCTCCAATTGTTCCTTAATCTCCCTAGGAGAATGTATAGACTCTTCGATCAAAGCATATACAGTCAAACACTGACAGTGTTTGTGTTTGTTGACGGGGTATGTAAGTCTGTTGTTGTGTGTTATGTATAGTATGTTTATATCACTTTTTGTGCACCTAGTAAGCAAGTTGGGTCATTTGTTAGTAAAGATAATATTACAATGACTGATACTGCTATAGACATAGTTTGAGGTTTATGTCTCCATTTTCCTCATTGCTGAGATATATGAGGAAGAATAAATCTTTAAAAAAAGGATATTCAGACATATCAGCTTGCTGTGTAAATTAGGAATGTAAAATTATACTCATTTTGACCTGCATATAAATTTGCTGTTAAACTGTGAATCCTTAAATGTGTGTGTTTGGAATTACTCTAAAGTTTATTTTCACAAACTGTATACATTTGGTATATGTGTGATGAGTGTATAAATATTTTGAAATAATATAAAATTAAAGGGAACAGACTTGTGAGCCTTTATCAATTAGCTTTAAATTATTGATGTATTTATCCTGAAGGACACTCAATAGATTGAGTGACTTTCTGTAGTAAAGAATCAGTGGTTGTTAGTAGACAATCACTGTGGATTAAAAATATATATGGGGGCCAGACGTGGTGGCCCATACCTATAATCTCAGGACTTGGGAGGAGGAGGTAAGAGAATCAGGATGGTGACTTTGAGATCAGCCTGGGCTACATAACAACTTCCAGGGAAGCCTCAGTAACAGCTTGTCTCCCCAAACAAAATATCAACCACAAATGGCTATAAGAGACATTATATTGTGTGTAATTTATGTGGATAACCAAAGAACAGAAGCAGCCACATTGTGTGATAATTTGAATATAAAATTATGAGATATGAAAAAATTAGGGAATGTAAAGAATGACATGGAATTTTGAGGCAGAAACAAGAAAGAAAATGAAATATACATGCCTTCAGGTCTGATGTGTTTTCTTCCTTTAACTTTTGTTTTAAATATGTAGTAGAAAGAAGGTGTCCCAAAATAAATTTTCTCATTATCTTGTTGGGGAATGAAAGAAAATACATTTTGACTTTACCTGCCTATGCTAGTTAGAACAGGCTCAATAAACAATTTAAGGTCTTTTCATGGACATTAGTTGAAAGGAGGAAAACATTTGCCAGGTGTGTTAGCTTGTGTGTGCAGTTCCAACACGTAGGAGGCCGTGGCAGAGGAATCCTGAATTCACTATGAGCTACAAAGCAAGACCCCATCTCAGGAGACAACCAAAATCCACAGGAAAGAGTCCAGTCTGTGCTCACTGTCAGAAATGGAGAAGTACAGGAAGATTAGTGGAGCTGAGACGCTTTCTTGTTGAATCAGGTGTGGGGACAAAATAATGAAAACAACTTTTAAGAGCATGGAGAACTTGTAAACCATGTGCATAGCAAAATTCTCAAGCACAAAAAGCCTCTGGTGTGTAGGCTCCATTTCTGTCCTGAATTCTGTACATTACTGCCCCTCCCCCCATGCCTTCTTCTTTTTTTTTTTTAACTTTGAAACAAGAGTTGAGAGTGAACTCGGAGTTCAGAGGCTTGAGGGTCAATGACAGATTGAGATGAATTCCAGATTTGACAAGGAGGAATCTGTAGATCATGGCCTTGGGTTCACTTAGTCCTGTTTCATCTGGAAAAGATTTTTGGTGCTGGTGGTGAGGTTTAGTGTGTGTGTGTGTGTGTGTGTGTGTTTGGACAGACTCCTCTCAACCTCCTGAGTGCTGAGATTATAGGCATGTGTTCCCATGCCTAGCTTTACCTGGAAGAAATTTAAAACCCTAATCTAGTCATCCTTGATAAAGCATAGAAAATACTAGACTCCGTAGGGGCTGGGCTGCATCCTTTCCTGTAGACTTGCTTAACACACATTTGTTAAGATCAAACCTGAATAAAACTACAAATCAATATTAAAAAAAAATACGTGTCTGTACTTTGTAATTCTCAATATTAAAATATAATTTAAAGAATATATTATTATAATCCTAAGTGATAAGCATACATGCATGCCTCTGTTATTGAAAATGGTCTGATAGTAGAAAGAAAGGGACTGTTCTTACATACTTCATAGCATGAATTTTGCTGGGAGTTTTGCCATGTGGGTATGAGCTTGGTGTAAATGATATAGTACAGAAAATGTACTGGTTGTATTTATGTGTGCCTTTCATTTACATCCAGTATGTAAAATCTTTTTTGTGTTGCCACCAGTTATTTGGTGAAGTATTGTGATGTTTTACAATTATAAATTCATAAGTATTTCATTAATTCAGAAGTGAATGTAGCCCTGCCTGCTCTCTGTCAGCTGTTCATTTGTTAAAATTCTTTGTGTCTCTTGACTGCTTCAAATCCAGGCTTTTTTTTTTTTTTTTTTTTTTTTGGTTTTTTGTTTTTTGAGACAAGGTTTCTCTGTGTAGCTTTGGAATCTGTCCTGGAACTCAATTTGTAGATCAAGCTGGCCTCGAACTCACAGAGATCCACCTACCTCTGCCTCCCAAGTGCTGGGATTAAAGGCATGAGCCGCCGCCACCACCACCACCACCACCACCACCACCATCATGTAGCCCAGGCATTTTATTTTCCCCTAGGTTTGAAAGATCAATTTTGCTTCTTTGTATTACATGATATGAACTTTCTCATATTACAACATTTTTAAATTTTTACTTTGAAGAGGTAATAGCATATAATCTAAAGTACAGAAATTATTTGAAGTTTGAAATTATTTAAAATTTGATTATTAATTTTTTTTTTTTTTTTTTTTTTGGTTTTTTCGAGACAGGGTTTCTCTGTGTAGCTTTGCGCCTTTCCTGGAACTCACTCTGTAGACCAGGCTGGCCTCGAACTCACAGAGATCCGCCTGGCTCTGCCTCCCGAGTGCTGGGATTAAAGGCGTGCGCCACCACCGCCCGGCGATTATTAATTTTTTAAGAATGGATATGGAATTAATCTCATGGTAACATAAGAGTAAGAAAATGCTTCCGGGTGGGACCTGGGGAGTTCACGTTTAAAATTAACAGCTATAGCCAAGTGTTTGTGTTTTTCTTTACTGTCAGGTTTCCCCACATGACTGTGTCTATAAAACACAGCACCTTGAGATTTGGGCTGTTACATTACCTTGAATTTCTTAAATTTCATTCTGAGAATGACTTAAGCAGGAATAACAAGTTGTGTTTTGCAAGATGAATAAAGCAAAATGGTCACATGTCCGCTGCATTTGACAGCTGGAATAAGACCAGTTAGCTCTGTGGCAGCTCCCATTGGTTGTTTGATGGTTGGAATGGTTTATGGTGCCACAGAATTCTGGGTTGTGAGGACTTAGATGTGTCCCACCACCAAGAATGACTGGTCTGACATTGGATTCTAGTACAGAAGGCAGCACAGTGGTGTGACCTGAATTAACTGAATTTCTACTGAAGTTCTCTTGTGTATATTTGTTTTGTAATTTCCAATGTCCCTTTGTAGCGAGTTTGGCTGTTGTTTTAATTGTATGTGCTAGAGTAACTATGAGTAAACTGAAGTTGCCCGTCTCAATGGTGAAACCATCCTAATAAAATACACATATTAAACTCCTCCTAAACTCCAGTTCTGCGTATTTGGCATCCATATTGTTCAGTGTTTATTTTGTCTGTGATCTGAATGATATCAAGGAGTTAGGGTCAATAAAGACTTTGGAATTTCTTAGTAGTTGTCTTAGTTTGGGTTTTCATTGCTGTGAAGAGACACCATGACCATGGCAGCTCATATAAAGGAAACCATTTAACTGGGGCTGGCTTACAGTTTCAGAGGTTCTGTCCATTATCATCATGACAGGAAGAGTGGCGGCGGGCAGGCAGGCGTGATGCTGGAGCTGAGACAGTTTGCCGGCAACAGGAAGTCAACTGACTGTCACACTGAGGAAGCTTGAGCAAAAGAGGCATCAAAGCCTACCTCCACAGTGACACACTTCTTCCAACAAGGCCACACCTCCTAATAGTGCCACTCCTTTTGGGAGCCATTTTCTTTCAAACGACCACAGTAGTCAGTTTTTAGCTATTTGCTAATTAATGTCAAGAAGATGTAGAAAAAAATAGTTTTCTTTTAATTTTTGTACTAGGGACTGAAGCTAGGGCTTCACAAAGTCTAGGCAAGCACCCTGCCACTAAGGCGGATCTTCAGGCCATTTCTCACTGCTTTTGATTTTGAAGCACAGTTTCATGAAATTGCCAACACAGCCTTAAATAAGTGACCCTCCTGCCTGGGCCTCCTGAATGCAGGGATTTGGGTCTGTGCCACCAGACTCAGCAAGATGTACTCTTACCTGTCCTGCCATTTCTTTTATTTCCTTATCTCTTTTGTTTCCATCTTCCAGAATATTTTGTGGTAACTCACGAGAAAAGGCCATGACGGTTTCCATAGTAGTTCGCTTGTAGCTTGATTTCATGGTAGGCATTTTTATAATATAGAAATCGGAAACAGATGTTTTTTTCCGTCACACTGAGTTCAGCATTCTGTATTTATCACAGAAGTTTTAAAATTTCCTGTTTGAGTAAGATGCAGGCGTTAGCATTCTACAGACGCAGGTCATGTGGGGGGCTTGTGGGGAGCACTTCATATATGCTCAACAGCATTGTAGTCGATATTTGTCAAAGAGCAATTCTTTCCTTTGTTTCCTCTTTAATTGTTTGGAGTCAGGGATTCATAGTCCAAGCCTTGAACTTGGGATGTAGCCGAGAATGACCTTTTCATTTCTGATCTTTCTGCCTCCACTTCCCCAGTGCCGAGATTGTAGACGTGAGTCACCACACCCAGTTTTTACATGGACTTGGGGTAGAACCCAGGGCTTCATATACACTAACCAAGCATTGAGCTACATCTCCAGCCCTTAAATGAGAAATTAATACATTGAATTCTACTTTAATTTATTCTGGGGGAAACAACTATGAATTTGTTGTGTTTTATTTTGCTTTATTTTGTTTTGTTGTGTAGCTCAAGGTGACCTCAAACTTGACCTTGAACTTTCTTCTGACCCTCCTGCCTCCACCTCCAAAGTACTGGGATTTATGGTGTGCACCACAGGATTGGATTAAGTATTTAAGTCCTTGTGCCAGTTTTCCTGTTTTAGTGTGTACTCCCACAATGATTAGTTACACATTTGTAGGATACAAATGCATTCAAAACTCTCATTTAAATACAATCAAAACCTAAAGGAACAGTTTACATGCATGAGATTTCTTTGTGTTGTTGTCTCTACACATATTCTTTCACAACATCACAAGAAGTCTTTCTCCTTTTAAAAATATGTATTATTATTTTAAGTGTATTGGTATTGTGTTTGCATGTATGTCTATGTACCATATGTGTGCCTGATGCCTACAGAGACCAGAAAAGGGTGTCCGATCCTCTGGAACTGGAGTTACAGGCAGTTGTGGAGTTGTGATGCGCCATGTGTGTTCTGGGAATTAAACTCAGGTCCTCTGGAAAAAGCAACCAGGGCTCTTAATCACTGGTGCATCACTCCAGTCCTTACTGTGTGTGTGTGTTTAAATTTCCTACATACATACAATACATTTTTATCTCATTTGTCCTATATTCTTCCCCTTAACATCTCCCAACTTCATGTTCTCTCTCTCTCCCTCTGTCTCTGTCTCTGTCTCTGTCTCTCTCTCTCTCTCTTTCTCTCTCTCTCTCAATAACCCACCAAGTCCAATCCACTGAAAGGTTATTGACCTGCTAGGAGCCACACCTCCTGTGGTGATTTGAAGGAAAATGGCCCCCAAAGGGAGTGGCACTATTAGGAGGTGTGGCCTTGTTGAAGGAAGTGTGTCACTGTGGAGGTGGGTTTTGAGGTTTCATATATGCTCAAGATTACCACCCAGTGTCTCAGTTAACTTCCTGTTGCCTTTGGATCAAGATGTAAGACTATTAGCTTCAGCACCATGTCTGCCCGCATGCTGCCTTGCTTCCCAACATGATGATGATGGACTAGACCTCTGGACTGTAAGTGAGCCACCATACTTAAATGCTTTCCTTTATAAGAGTTTCTATGGTCATGGTGTCTCTTCACAGCAATAGAAACCCTAACTAAGACACTCCCTGAAAGAAAAACTGACTCTCCTCACCCCTAGAAGCCATTAGCTGTCAACAAGTGCTCACCTAGAGGTGGGACTCATGAGCCCCTCTCCGCTGCGTGCTGGAGTGTTAATGGGCTTGGCCTTGTGCAGGTAGCCACAGCCGCTATGAATTCCTAGGTGTAGTCATCCTCTCAAGTCCTAAAAGTAATTTTGCTCTGGTCCTCCCTGTCCTCCAGCTCCTTCAGTCTTTCTGTCTCCCCTTCCAAGACAGTCTCTGAGCCTTGGGAGAGGGTGTGGTATCGAAGTCCCATTCATACGTGAACACTTCACAGACACTTATTCTTTGCATTTTGGACAGTTGCTTCTTTTAACCACTGTCCACTGCACAAAGAAGCTTATTTGATGAAATCTGACGGCATCAATTAGTATAGGAATAAGGATTTAGAGAGCAGTTCATCATGTGAAGAATAAAATTTGTAAAGAAAAAAAATTTAATATCCCCCACTGAAGTGTGTTCAGAGGTCATCAGTGGGTATGTCAGAAAAGAAAGAACAGAAATGTTGACTAGACATGTAAAAATATTCAGTCCTACTTATAACCAACAGAAGCAAATATTCAGTTATATTTATTCTGCGTGCATGTGTGTATGTGTGTGTGTGTGTGTGAATTCTGGAGTACATGTACCACAGCATACCTGTGGATGTCACAGGACAACTTGCAGGAATCGGTGACTCCTTCCACCATGTGGGTTTCAAGGACGGACCTCTGCTTATAAGGCTTGGCCCCAGCACACTTAGCTGCTGACTCATATCATTGGCCCACAAGAAAGCTAATTTGAAAGAGTGAGGAATCTTAAGCATTTAAAGCTGGGTAGTACACAGTATTGGTGGTTTATCTCCATACAAGCACTCTAGTTTTGTACTATTCCAGAGTACAGTTCAGCAATAGTGTGTAGGATGTAAAAATGCTTAGCAGCTGAGCAATGAGTTCAACTCCAGCAATTAATCCAAGAGAAATAACCAAATTAAAGAGCAAAACATCATCTATCCACATATTACATAAGTATGAGCACAAGCATGTGTGTGTGTGTGTGTGTGTGTGTGTGTGTGTGTGTGTGTGTGTGTGTGGTGGCATTATATATACAGTCTGATAAAAACATGAAATTATCCAAATTTTTGAAACACTGGGATTAATCAAATAATGCCTTAGAACTCTCGTACACAATAAAATGAGTAAATGTTCAAAGCTAGAGAGATGGCTCAGTGCTAAAGAACTCTAGCTGCTCTTGAGTTCCCAGCACCCACATCACAATTTTCTAAAACTCCAGTTCCAGCTGATCTGATGCTCTCTTCTGGCCTCCATGAGTAAGTATGTGCATGTGGTACACATAAGTTCATGCAGACACATGGACATACAAAAATAAATCCTTTAAAAGTTATAATGTAGAATTATATATTGCTAAGAATCTAGGCCAAGGATAGAATGCTTACCTAGAATGTTCAAGGCCCTGGGTCTGTTCCTCACTGGGGGAAAATTGACCTTTGTATTTCTTTTTCTTTTTAAAGTAAATGTATATAATCAAAGTCTAAAAGAGTGTTAAAATAAAAATATTACTTATCTCTGGGCATTGAAAGAAAAGTAGTGAGCAGTTCATTTAGCAAAATAGTAAGTCACTCCTGGGCCCATGAGCTCTACAGCTGGGGGTTCTTGGTCAGATTTACAGTAATAAGCATTCATTTTCTTCTAGGGAGTGTACAGAAAGATAACAGTGGACACTTGGATTGTTGAAGCAAAAAAGATCTAACCAGTAATCACTAAGGTTTTGATCACACATCAAGTGTAGGACTCTTTCAAGGACCAGGATACCATGGCACATCCTAAGAGGCTGATAGACAGAGACAAGACTGACTACATAATATTATTGTTGCTCTCACTCACAGCTTAAGGAATACAGTCCACATTGCCTTGAAGGCAAGATGGAAAGGCAGGTGGTCACATCACATCTACAACTAGAAGACAAATGCTGCTTTGCCTACTTTTCTCCTTTTTGTTCAGTCGGGAGCCCCAGGTCCGGGGGCTGCCCACATTCCAGGCAAGTCTTCCCTCTTCATTTAACCTGTCCAGACAAATCTAAACATACCCAGAGCTGTGTTTCCATGGTGATTCTAAAGCCAATCAGGTTGACCATGAAGATTAACCATTGCAAAAATAGTGTGTGCCAATTGACGAGAAGGTCTACCTGGAGGGTAGGCAGCCCTGGGCTGATGCTCCAGACTGAACAAAAAGGACAAAGTGGGCAGAGCAGCAGCATTCATCTCCTGACAGAGAATGTAATGTGACTGCCCACTTTTCCACCCTGCCTTCGCTACAGTGATTGACAGTATTCCTTAAGCTCTGAGAACAACAACAGTAACAATACAATCTGTGAGAGTAATTTTTTCTCTTTAGGTTGCTTATCAGGTCTTTGGTCAGAGAAATAAGAAAAGTAACTAATACACTATAGATGATCAAAATTATATTAAACAAAGGAAA